CTGAAAAAAGCACAACAACAACAACTTCCTTACCACTATGCTTGAATATTATTTAATTTTCTCAAACTACCAGATAAGTTGTACAGCAAGAACATGTGCTCATACTCACTCAAAAACTTCAAGAGGCACATGGACATCCTGAACAGCAGACCGTAACTTGTCAATGTCCTGTATGTTTGTAATCATATTTTGCCTGAAATAACAAAAAAATCATTAGTGATAGTTAATAGATCAACTTAAAGTATGAAAAAGAGGAGGGTACACATAATGAAAAATTCTAATACAAGTTCTGAAGTGTGATTACTTTACTGTAACACACTTGCTCAGAATCTTAATTTCACTCTACTGACACCCCTGGCTGCATACTTGACAATACAGAATATGTATATTTTATAACTAGAGTCACCTTATTTCATATAAGATCAAAAGTCACACTCCTCTATGATAAAAGAGAACTGATAGGGTAATATACAATGTTCACATGAGAATCAATGCATTTACAGTGTGTGTTCACAGTTTATCATGAAAACCATTCTTCTATATCATGTCAAATATTGGACACAACTGAATTTCTGTGATTTAAAAGAATCAACTCTTCTGGTATAAAATGTTTCACATAGATCACATTCTAGGAGAAATCAAGGATAACAATGGATGCTGGAATGTAGTCTATTCAGTAGTTGTTTTTTGTAGTAAATATAGATTAAAAAAGAAACACGAAAACACAGAGCACAAATGGCAATGAACTAAGGTCTGTTCAACAAATCCCAAATCACTATGAATTTGAAAAACTCCAAAACAGATTAAACAATAAAAAGTATGAGATGTATCAGCCACACTGACCAAGTTATCAACAACTATTAACAGTACAACACAAGCAATATTTCTGGTCACACTTAGCACAAGATGATAAGTAACAAAATAGTATCAAATGATGGCATAGCCATGCTTTGTCCTTTGGCAAAAGCTAACATCAATCATATATGTTCTTGAAAAATAAACCTACATAAAGGTACACATAGGACACCTACAAGCTGTCTTGTCAAATTGTTTGTGGTGGATCACAAGTAGAAACCACTAATGAGATTAAAGGTGCATCTAAGATATCATAGGTTATGTAGATCTATGAAAAGTATTTAATTTGTGTTGATTACCTTTAGGCCATAAAAGTGTTGGTGGTAATTCTTTACAGTAAGGACACTCACCAGACACTAAGACCCCAACTCCATGTCACAAAATTTATTCAACATTCTTAGTTGTTGGGAACTGCCTAAGGGGATGGATGAAGGGGGTCTCTAGCCCCAAGCACCCCTGGAGAACATTGTCTTCACCTCTGTATGTACGGCAAGATAAGAGCTGAAACTTGAGAGCACCAAGTGGACTTAAGCTATGATCAGCACTTTTCCCTTAATTTGTAGCGTTACCATTCATGTCTGCAGATTATATCCTGTACTGACAACTTCAACTTTTCGTACTCGACAAGAATACCATAAATTTTAACCCTGTTGGCTTGTATTCATTATAATTATAACCTTATCTTTTTGCTAATCATTCTGAATAATTACCATACATAACTTAGGGAAAGAGATTTATTGGATCTACATACTCTAATATGATAAAATACCTTGTTAATCATATTTTGTAACTAGCTTCATATATAAAATACATGAAATAATCTGCTAAGGCAAATAATACAGTCAAAATTGAGAAAAATAGATCAAGGCTAATGCTGTCCACAGAGTAAGTCCCTAGTAGGGTAGGGATCCAGGTGCAGAGCCTCCAATGGGGAAATACAGCAATGGGTTTTTGGTTTATAGGCAAAGTCTGTGGATTCCAGGAGTAGCTATAATAATAAGGACTTAAGTTTCTGAGGGGTGCGGTCACTTCATAAACAGTTACCAATAATTTATATAATTTGCAATGGAAAATAAAACATACATACATATTACATTTTGAATAATTTAATGCACTGTCTATTCTTACGGCAGCCGTAATCAGCACAAACTGGGCAAATGCAACTTCAGTGCCTTTTGCATGTTTGGCTTCCGGTTTCGCATTCTACAAAAAGGGCAGGCAACGTGAATAACCAACCTAACCTACCTAACCTAACCAACCCAACCAAACTAATCTAACTTAACCGATCTAACTACTTAGGTTAGATTAGGTTAGGCCGTTAGGTTAGGTTGGGAATGGGAAAAGGCCTCATTAAAACGTAAGTAATTGTCAAAGTGACCAGATTATGCGCATGCACAGTGGACTGCCGTAACTCGAGAATATAGATAAGCGAATAGACTGCCGTAACTCTATCCTGTGCCATAATTGAAACAGAATAATAACTGCAAGGTGTGATGACTGTGTGAAACTAAAAAAAATACTATATATTCTACTGAAATGTAGTTAACATTTCTACTTTTCCTAAATAGAATTAACTCACTTCATTGCCTAATAAAATGAAAAGACAATACTCGATATTCTTCCCCTGTTTCGCACTACAGTCTCC